GGCTGCTCGCTTCCTCCTGTGCAGGCGGAGCGCGTGCCGCTGGCCCTCAGTCCTCGGCTGGAGGAGGCGCTGGACTTCAGCGAGGTGGAGGCGGAGCCCAGCGAGGGGGAGGACTTCGAGGCCCGGGGCAGCCGCTTCTCCAAGTCGGCCGACGAGAGGCAGCGCATGCTGGTCCAGCGGAAGGACGACCTCCTGCAGCAGGCGCGCAAGTGAGTGACCCTCCGGCCCTGCCGGTCTACACCCGTCAGAGCCCGTGGCCCGAAGGCCCTGGTCACGTCAGGCCCCCAGCAGGTCTCACACACGTGCCAACGTGGGTAACCACTCCATGCCACCTAGACCTGTGGTCGGCAAACTGCGGCTCGAGAGCCACATGCGGCTCTTTGGCCCCTTGAGTGTGGCTCTTCCTAAGCCTTAGGAGTACCCTAACTAAATTAATAACAATGTACCTACCTATATAGTTTAAGTTTAAAAAATTTGGCTCTCAAAAGAAATTTCAATCCTTGTACTGTTGATATTTGGGTCTGTTGACTAGTGAGTTAGCCGACCACTGGCCTAGACAGTCAGGCTTTAAACCTCTCTTGAGAAACCAGAGGATCTGGTAACACTGGGCTCCACTGCTGCATCACCCGTATTCTGTGACATCTTCAGCCACATGTACCCGGACAGCACTCGTGCTGCGTGCTCTAAGCTTTTTCTGTCAGTTATTTGGACTCTGTTGACAGCTTTGAGAGGGAGCACTGCAGTTGTACCCATTTGACAGGCTTCCAGTTGAAGAAGCGAGACTTGGAGAGGTCAACACGCTGTGGGCCCAGCCCGGGAGCGTTGGTGCAGCTGGGGCCTGGGCTGTCCCTGTGGCTGTGCCGGGCTTTGTAGTTCAACCCCTGGGGACAGGCCAGCATTGTGTTCATTCGAGCAGGGGGTGCCTTCGGGGGTGCCTTCGTGCTGTGTGTGACTGTGGGGAGGGGACAGCCAGAGGACGGACAGCTGTGCTGCCTCTTGACGCGCCTCATCCCATGCGGAGAACATCTGCTCCTCGGCTCAGGGGCGGGTCCTCCTCATGGGGTAGAGCTGAGTGACAGCTTCGCGAAGGTGCCTGCAAAACGGGTGAAAAAGACGCGTCCTGTGTGTTTCTGTGTCTGTTCCGCAGCTTTCCTCGCGCCTCAAGCAAATCCTTTGTTTTCTGTTCAAGGCGGTTCTTGAACCGAAGTTCTGAAGATGACTCGGCCTCAGAGAGCTGCCTGGCCTCGGAAGGCACGGCCTCCGACCCCGTGACCCTGCGTCGGAGGATGCTGGCCGCGGCCGCAGAACGGAGACTTCAGAAGCAGCAGACCTCCTAGCGCTTCCTGGCCCTGCTCAGCCGCCTCCCCGAGCAGCGCGCCCACCGAAGAGGCCTGCCTGGCCGCCCGCGTCTGACGGGGGCCTGACTGCATTGCCGCTGTACAAAGCATGTGGTCTTCATAGTGTTTGGACAGCTGACAAATGTAATCCTTTTTGTAACCCTTTCTATGTGACATTTCTTCTCCCGTTAGAAACACTGCACATGTTAACTCAAGGCATGATCTCTTCTGGCATTGCCTGGACTTCTTGGGGGCGGGGAGGACCAGGAGGCAGTGGGCGGCCAGAGGCCCTGAGGCCAGCAGCTTCAATGACTGCCTTACGCATAAGTCACAACCAGTGCTGGTGTCTCAGCCCCGATCTGGCAGGAGGTGGGGGTGGGGCAGGTTCATGAAGTGGGGGCTGTACAGCGGGAGCCCCATCACTGGAGGGTGTGTCTCATGCTGTTCTCAGAGGCGTTCAGAGTGGTACGGGGGCTGGAACCGGGCCCCTGGACCTCTGGGCCGGCAGGGCCTCTTGGGAAAACTCTTGGTTTGATACCTGGAGCAGCCAGGGTAGCGTGTGAGCTGGTGACCCGTGTGTCCCAGTCCATCCGGGACTTCCTTTCTGAGCCCCAATCAGAGCTGGTTTTATTTCCGTTTACGCTGGTGCTGCTGCATCTCACATGTCCACCCTGTGTCAGTCCTCTCCTCTGCGTGTCACTGGCCCCCAGATGTGTGGGGGGCGGGCAGCACTGAGGGGTGTGCAGCAAGCTTTGGTTTATGGTTTGAATTCCTTGGTCAAGTAAATTAGGCAATGCCAGCGGCTATGGGTTTGTCCTTGGGGAAAATGTGGGCCAGAAGAGACGGAGAGGACATTCTGGAGGGCTCTGCTGGAGAAATAAAAGCTACTTTTCCAGTCTTCTCTGGAGCCCTTCATTCTCATCACTGTGTTCCTGTTGGTGTAATTAAACGCAGAAAGGTAAGATGCGGCATCCACCTGCTTGGAGCAGACCCAGGTCCTGGCCCTTTTCAAATTCATCCCGCATTTAACTTCAAGGATTTGAAACATGCAGTGATAGGTTACATAGTTCAGTTTTGTGTCCTATCGGATTAAGTTTTTTTTTTTTTAATGTTTCAAAACAGTTATGATAGTCCTTTGGGGGGAGAATCCAGTATTACCTAAAATTATTGGCAAAGTTAAATGTATTTTAAACGGAAAGTTTCTAGAATGTTGAAAAGTAACTGAAAAAAGAGTGATGAGTAAATGTCTAGGCCAAGATAATTTATTTCAATAAACCTTTCAGAAGCCTTACCTTTGAAATGCTGTTAGTACATTTCTGTGATTTTTTAAAAAACAAATGTGTTTTGTTTTGCTGAGAGCATAGCTATTTGTTTTTATTGTAAAACAATAATAATAATAAAAAGCAAACTCGATTCTTAGTGTGCTGTGTGCGGGGGAGCGAAGGCGTTTCCTTCGGAGGTGCCGTCGCTCGGTCCTGTTCTGACTGTGTGCCGACTGGGCGGAGGGTTCTCCAGCCCTGCACCCTGCAGGTTGCGCGATTGAAGATGACGTTACGTTTCAGATGGGTGAGGAGAGGAATGGTTTGAAGGCAGTTTGAGGTCTTGAGACCCTGGCACCTCGCAGTGTGACAGGTGGAAGCCGGGCGTGGAGCCTCACACAGCGAGTGACCCCGGAGAGAAGTCCTAGGCGCACGGCTAGATTTTGCATCTGGGTAGCTAAGGATTCTGGGTACTACCCACTCGGCTTTTGTCACTTCTGGGGACATCTGGGATAGACGCCAAGGGCAGTGGCAGGAGCTAGACCAGGGTCCCCTCAGGACCCTATCCCATGGCCTCTCGCTGCCCTGGCTGCCTCCAGGTCAGGGGGCCTGTGGGCTTTGGAAGTAGTCTATAGTACGCCGTCCATCTTCTTTAGGGTCATATTTTGTTGAGGTCTTGGTTCCCTCCCCGCACCCTCCCAAGTTTTGAGGCTTTTGTGTGGACGTTCTGTGTTGCTAGAGTCCTAGGTGCCCAGGTGGCCACTGGACTTGGACCTCATTTCCCGCTTGCGCTGGGCACCCAGTGTGCCAGCAGATGGGGTCCTCTCCCGGGTGGTTCTCCCCATTATGGGAGGGGAGCTGGGAGCCCTGCAGGAACAGCCCGGCAGGTAAAAGGAGCCACGGCTTTGCACCGAGCTTGTTCCAGAATAGCCTGCCCGCCCGCCTGGACGCCCTCTGTCTGGAAGCCTCATCTCATCGCCCAGAAGTGGTTCCAGACAGGAGTGGGCGTTAGAGCCCCTTGAGCTCGACCCCACGCTCCTTGTTCTAACTGCATTGGGCCCCCAAACCCGCATCCTCTCCTCAAACGATGTTCCTGACTCATTTTAAGGAAGATCAGGCAAAGAAAGCTCCGTTGGGAGAGAACCCTGTCAGACATGGCTCACTTTTGGCAAACTTCAGTGACGCCATATGCCGACGGTCACGGCCAAGCTGTGGCCGGCAGTGCAACCTTCCCATCAACAGAGCTGGTGGGCCTCCCTGTGCAGGAAAGTTGGGGTGAGGGGGGCTAGGGGAAAAGCACTGGGGTGGCCTGGCTGACAAGGGCCAGCTGGTTCTCTGTAACAGGAGGGAACTGGCTTGCATTCCGTGTCTGCAGCAGTATCGTCCCCTCCTGCCTCCACTAGCTTCACAAGCCCTGGAACTGCCCAGGCTGGCCGTTCCCATCTGTTGGGGTGTGGAGAGGGTCCCACTGGCCTGACCTCCAGGGCCCTCCTCTCTCCCTGGACCGCACGGTGCAGCACTTGCCTGCCTGGCTAATAAGCGATCCGTGGATGTGACACAAGGACTTGGATGGGCCGTGCTCCTTCCCTCCAGGTCTCCGTCTCAACCGATTTGCTAGTTACCACAGCAAACACCTGGCAGCCTGGGAGAGCGGTAGTGAGGCTGCCACCCAGGGAGACGGCACTGGGCTCTGGATGCCAGGTGTACTGATCTCAGTCGCCCCTTGTGTGTTTGGCCTGCAGGGGGCTTCCCAGCACCCGGGTGCGGTAACATAGGCTTTTCAAGATGGTGAGGTGGCCCGGCCGGCGTGGCTCCGTGGTTGAGCATCGACCTAGGAACCAGGAGGTCACGGTTCGATTCCCAGTCAGGGCACTTGCCAGGGTTTCGGGCTGGATCCCCAGTAGGGGGCGTGCAGGAGGCAGCCGATCAATGATTCTCATCATTGATGTTTCTCTCCCTCTCCCTTCCTCTCTGAAATCAATAACAAAATGTGGGGGCAGAGGGTCCAGGCAATTTGGCTCATTTTTGGGACCATCCATTCTCCCACTGCGGTGCAAGCACTGGGAATAGGAGAAACAGGAGCCTGTATTAGCAGATTTGGGATTCCCCCCCCCTCCCAGCTGTTTCCCCTTCCAATCCTCGATTGCACAGTTACTCTCAGGAACAAACAAAGCCAGCTGCACGCGAGGAGGAGCCGGGAGCCTGGAGGAAGCGGGAGGAAGCGGGCATCTGTGGGCAGGATGGTCCACTCTGCCCTCCTTGCGCCCAGCTGGCACATGGAGAAGGTCGCGGGGGTTCTCTCTCTGCCCCCTCCAGCCTTGCCCGCCAGCCCCCCAGGGTCCGCGGCCCCCTCAAACCCTCCTTCCCTGTCCTGTGACAACAAAGCCCGCGCATGGGAACCGAGTACAGACAAACATTCTCTTTATTGAGCTACACATGAATTTCCATTAGTCAGAGAAGTAGACTGGCAGTGTGTAAGATATCACAGAAACCTCACCGATTGGGAATAGAAAGGCTTAGAAAGACCGTGGGCTTTTTTTTTTTTCCAAGTTTTTTTTTCCTGTATTTTTAATTTTTTTGTGTTTAGTCGTTTTACCTCCTTTTTTATCTGAAATGGCTGTGACTGGTCTTCAGCAAATGTCTTAAAAGTGAAACCGTGAAGAGGTTTGGGGTTTGAATACGAGTCAGAGTAGAAATGACAGGACTGGTCATGGAAACTGGCTTTCGTGTAAACACTGCATTCCATCTTTGCTTGTTAAATGTTTGCGTGTTTTTCTTTTCCATCTTGTGGCGTTTAAAAGAAATGTGGGGGATTCTTTTTGTTGTTCTTTTTATCTGCGGCACAAACATCCCTCCCCACGTGAGAAAGAGTGGACACAGGTCACCGAGACAGAGGAGAAGGTGGAGGACACACACACACACACGGGGAGCATCCATCTGAGACCGAGAAGCGAAAACGTCAAAGGAAAAAAACCCGCAACCCCAACTCCCAAAGACAAGGAAAGCTGACCGGGTATGTGGCACACAGGGCGCATCAGGACAAAGAGAAAACTAAACAACCGAAAGCAATGATAAAGGGCGTCTGTAGAAAGGGGGTTGGTGGGAAAACTGTTTTCGATGGGGCTCTTTGTACATATGATCCGGATTCTGGGCAGCTACGGGCCAGTGAGCACTGTGCTTTTTCTATACAAACCTGGGGTGAGCGTGTAGCTGGAGTGGCTGGGGGGGTGTGTGTATGTGTGGGGGGCGGGTGGTGGGTGGTGGGTGCAGAGCGCAACCCGGTCTGAGCACATTCTGGAAACCTGGTGCGGACAGGTAGGCCTGGCACCTCTGCAGGGATGTGCCCCCACACCTGCCACCAGGTGAGATGGTGGGGGAGGTGCAGATGTATGTTTATTTCAAAAAAAAAAAGAGAGAGAGAAATATGGATGTAATGGTGAGTTTTCCATTTTCCTTTTAAGCTACAAAGCACATGAGAAATGTTCTTTTTTTTTTTCCGTTCAAATTCTAAATGTAGAGACTCAACTAAAACCGGGTTCTACAGCATTCTACAGAAATACACAGCCGTCAGTCACTCTGGGGTCATAGGTTAGACAGGGGCTGGATACAGAAAGGCTGTGTGTCTTACAAAGGCCAAAAGGTCATGCTACCAGGAGATCAAGGTCAACAGCAGAGAGTCCGGGAAGCAGTCTGTAGAGAGAGAGATAAGGGGGTCCAGTCCGACCAGTTTCTTTGCTTTTACAAACCAACAAACCAACCAACCAACAGACCCTGGCACAATGCTCATGTGTTGGAGGCGGGCAAGATGGGGCAGCATGGGAGGAAGATCAGAAGAAACCCCAGGGAGGCCCAGCCCAGGCCCCTGAGGCCTCCCCAGTGGTCCGGTCTGCAGTCCAGCCCCTCCCTGCGGGCCCTCCTGCCCCCTGCTCCCCCTCACCCCCTTCTCCCTAGCGCCCTGCATGTCCCTCCCCTCAGCTGCTCTGACAAAGCCGACCAAGCCTCCCTTTTCTGACTCTGCCTGGTCAGCATGAAGAGAGAAACCAGGAGCCAGGGGGCTGCTCAGAGCAATGCTTCCTCTAAGTCCTTGAACCACCACCACCACCACCCACAGAGAAGCGTCCTTAATTTTCCCGTTGTTGCCGGGGGTGTAGGGCAGGGAGGTGGTTGGGCATTGGCCATTTTGTAAAGGATTTTGGGATTTGCAGAGAGCCGGGCAGAACTGAGCGCTCGGGGTAGAAGCAGAGACGGGGTCTGGACTGATGCCAGGCTATTTGTCCTCCCTCTGCTCACAGACATGGGTCTCAGAGGGTGAACCCACGGGGCTGGTCTCCTAAGTCAGGACTCCATCACGGCTCGTATGTGTGTGTGTGTGTGTGTGTGTGTGTGTGTGTGTGTGTGTGAGCGTGCGCACAGGCACACACCTGCATGCTCATGGGCTGACTCAGGAAAACCTTGATCTATGGGGTAGTGGTCAGTTCTGTCTGAAACTCTTTCTAGAACAAACTAAAAAGAATTTTTTAATATATATCTGTATATATATATATAAGTTTTTGTTACGCCTTTTTTTAAAGTTTATTTACCAACTTGCATTTGCCAGTGGGGTGTGTGTGTGTGTGTGTGTGTGCAAGCTTTTCTGAGTGCTGGGATCATTACCAAGTAGGTTGCTATACAGGACAAGAGGTCAGTACAAGCCGCAGCCCCGGAGGTTGTTGGCAATGATGATGTCGGTGACGGCGTCGAATACCACCTGGATGTTATTCGTGTCTGTGGCACAAGTCATGTGACAATAAATTTCTTTGTTGGGGGAGCGGTTTTTGCTTTCAAATTGTGCTTGGATGTAGGCGGCTGCGTCTTCGTAGGTATTGGGGCCTGTAACAAGACAGAACAGGGGGAGGCCCCGGTGAGAGCTGGCGGGGACGGGGTGCGAACCCTCAGGCCAGAGGTGGGTGGGGCATTTCCCAGGAAGCAGGTGAGACGGGCCAAGAAGAGAGGAGGCTACAGACAGACACTCCCTCTCCAAAGGCGTCCCTGCATTTTACAGCCAAACCCACATGCGGCTCTGCATTCGCCCGGCTTCTGGCTTTTCAAGGTGTCTCACTGCTTCCACACGGGACGGACCCAGGGCCCTGGGCGGACGATGGCCACAGAAGGTCCCTTTTGCTCTCTGGATGAGCACCCTGAGGCCCGCCCCGGGCTGCCCTTACAGCACTCACCCCTGGACTAAACCAGTCCTGCTTGCCTGGCCAACATGGCTCAGTGGTTGAGCGTTGACCTATGAACTAGGAGGTCACGGTTGGATTCCTGGTCAGGGCGCATGCCTGGGTTGTAGGCTCAGTCCCCAGTAGGGGGTGTACAGGAGGCAGGTAATCAATGATTCTCTCTCATCATTGATGTTTCTATCTCCCTCTCCCTTCCTCTCTGAAATCAATAAAAATATATTTTAAAAAAGAAATAAAAATAAGCCAGTCCGGCTGCTGTGATAAACCAAGGCAGTGGCTCTTTTGGAGGCCTGGCAGGTGGCATCCAGGACGCCTGGCGTCGCAGGGGGTCCTGGGGGTTGAGCTGGACCTGCACGTCTCCCTGCACTTGGCAGGGCTGGGGCGCCCCTACGCAGTCCTAGTTCTTGGGTGAGTGGCCAGACGTAAGGCGCTGGGTGAGAGGTTTAAGGTGCTAGCAGCGTGTGTAATACCAACTGGGCCCCACGGCCCCACCCCTGTTCCTTGCTGTCCCCTTGATCCTGGCTGGGGCCTGGTGGGGGTATCTGTGGAGGATGCAAAGACAGTTCTTCTTAATCAGCTGCACCCCAAGCCCACATGGTTCTGCCCTGTGGACAACTTTCAATCACCATAAAATATAGACCAGCACAGAATCTCCTAAGAGCCCATCAAAGGAAGAAGCCTCTGTCACTAGGATCTGGGAGCTTGGAACCAATACCATCTGGTGCTGAGGGTTGGACCATACCTCCCCTGCCCCACCCCCCCAGCCCCCCCCTCCTGCGGTGGGTGTGTGAGCTGCATGGGGAGGCTGGGGCTTGGGCTACTCAAAGGCTTCTGCAGCCAGATAACCAAATGTGAGGGTTTGGGGGGGAGGGGTAGCATCATCCCTGGAGTGGGGGTCAGGATGAAGACCAGCTCTGCACAGCCCATGGGGCAGAACCTCTCTCTCAACCCCACCACTGGGCTGGCATCAGAGCATAAGTGGTGAGTCTGTAGTGAAGCCATCAAGTGAGTGGCAATTCGAAGACGAGACGGAGTGCCAGAGTGGACCCCATCAAGGAGCTTCCTGTCCAGAGAGCGCCAAGACAGGGCATTGATGGAGGTGCAAGTGCCTGGGAGTAACTCCGGGGATGCCCAGCTCATGTCTTTTCAGCATCTGCTGAGTCCTCGCCCTTAATAGCCAGGCACAGAGCCCACCTTGGCCATCCAACTACTACCTGCCCCCTGCCTGTCCTCTGCCCCTCAGCCTGCTCTGTGCCCCCAGTGGGCCTTGGCACCCCATGGGGCTGCTTCACTGGTGATGATTTGCCCTCCGTTGTGGATGATGTTTGCACTCAACAGTGACGTGGGGTTGGACCCCTCTGGGTGTTCTGCAGAACTCAGATGCTTCCAGATTCAGACCGACTTCCCTGGGGGCAGCCAGTGCCTCCTACTGCACAGCAGTGAGACTGGCTGCCACGTGGGCCACGTCCCAGGCTCCATGGGGCTGGGTCGCTGGGGACAAGGAAGAGCCTTGGGGTGGTGCCTGCCTGAGGGTCTGCCAGGTCCTCTGGCTCCTGAGACTCATCGGTCACCACCGCTTTCTCCAGACCTGAACTGGTCCTGCAGGGCCCTGGCTGAGCCTGGGAGGGAGGTCAGCAGTGGCTGCCTGCAGGCAGCGCCCTCCTCGGCCCGGGGACCTCTGGGCCTGTCCCGGGCCACCCTGCAGAGGCCCCTTCCACCTCCTCCGCGGCAGCTCCCCCGTCCCTGGTTCCCATCCTCTGAGTAACAGACGGCCAGTGGGATGCAGACCAGGCACCGGGCTCCGTGCTCTCCGCTCGCCCCTGTGGCCACCCCGCCCTGTAGGCACTACTGTTTCTACTGTGGTGCCCGGATAAGAAACGGGGCCAGGGGACTCGCTTGCCCAAAGTGGCAGTGGTCTGGCTCCAGCGGCTGCTTTTGTGCCCCTGCCCGCTGGAGACATGCTCCTGACCGCTGTCCGACCCCAGCCTGCTGCCACCAGGCCATCACCCCTGCTCCTAGCACCCTGGGGTGGGCGGGAGCCTTGCCGATTGACAAGCAGGGGAACACGGGTGATAGACAAGCTGTGCTCAGAACAACCGATGGGCCTTTCTCCACACCGAGGGTGAGCGCCGCACGTCCCAGCGGTGGAGAAGGGTGCAGGGGCCAGTGTAGCCCTGGGAGCCAAGCCCATGCATGCCCTCCCCTCTCTCGGGGCTGCCTGTGAGGGGGTTCCTGGCTGAGCCAACCTGCGACACAGCCTCCTCTATTGCAGGATGCAACAGGGGTCCCTAGAAGCTTCCCCGTCCAGAGGGTCAAAGGCTGGGCTCTGCACTAGCCCCTGGCTGTGGCCCAGGGCCGCCAGCCTCCAGCAGCCTCCTCCCTCTGCCGGCAGCCCGATGCCTCATCCACCGTCTGCAAGAGCTCCGTGTGGGGTCTGAGATACATTCCCCTGGGAGCCAGATGGGAGGAAAAAGACCAGAGGAGGTGGAAGAGAGGAGGAGGAGGAGGAGGAGGA